CTGGCTGGGGAATTCTGGGAGTTGAAGTCCACTCATCTTAAAGTGGCCAAGTTTGGACAACACTGTTCTAAGTATACAGGTCTGGGAAGTTTTATAGGCCTGGATAGGGATGTTCTGCAGCAGAATGTGTTCATATAATACATATAAGGAAGCCAGTTCACTGCAAAGGGGTTGCCATGCATTTGGGAGTATGTATGTATATGTAATATTTATGTGCATGTTCATGGATCAATGAAGGTCAAAGGAGATTGTGCTTCACGGTAGCCCAAGCACTGTGCATTAGGCCTTTCATAAGGTATTGAAGACCTAAATGTTCCCTCAGGCATTTGCGCTGGGAGATTAAATGAGCCATGATGGTAGATTTGTTGTTTTGGTCTTCACTGATTGAAAATAGAATGTTTTTAGACCCAATGGTATGTTTTATTGTTTTTGTTGTTTTGGATTATTATTTTCTGTATTATTTCTTGGCTTTGGGATTTCAATCCTCTGTGCACTGCCTAGAGTCTCTCTTGTGAGATGGGAAGCTCTATAAATTGTTTAAATAAATAAAATACATTTTTATTGATGTATTTTTATTGATTGATTGATTGATTGATTGATTTTTATTGATAGGGGCCTATCCTGTCATTCAAAATAGGGAGAACTGATCACTTAAATAAAGTGCTAGTTTGGTGTAGTAGTTAAAGGCACAGGTCTAGAAACCAGGAGGCCATGAGATCTACTCCTGCTTTAGACACAAAGCCAGCTGGGTGACTTTGGGCCAGTCACTCTCTCTTAGCCTTAGAAAGAAGAAGGAAATAGCAACCCACTTCTGAAAAGGTTGCCAGAAAACTACAGTGGGTTGTCCAGGCAGTCTCCAGGAGTCAAGACTGGACATGCACACAAACCCCAGTTAAATAGGGATGTGGGCAGCAGCTGTTCTTCTGTGGGAGATGTTAGATGGGAAGAAGTTAGATGGGTAGACTTAAGGACCTCTTGTTATTAAGAACATGGCATCTGCTCTAAGCTTGCCTCAACAGTGTGTCATGTTTCCTTGATTCAGCCTTTGGGAACCACAGGCAGAAGGGAGAACAGCAGGGTCACTCTGAGAGTGATAATATTACATCATGCATTCCTTTTAATAGAAAGCATGTCTCAGCAGGTCACTACTAATGCCCATCTTTGGCCCCTAAAGCTAAGCATGGTCATGCCTGGTTAGTAGTTGCATGGCAGGACCTCAGAAATGACAGAGCTATAGACCAGAAGATCAGAACAACATCCTGGAAGAAAACAATACCATCTGAACTGTCTATATTAAATATTCAATACCATCTGAACTGTCTATATTAAACATTGTGAGATGAATGGGGTTTCAAAATAAGGAAAAGCATTGGATACAGGAATAGTACTATGGATACGGAAGGATGTTTTAATTTTTATCCTAAGAAAGTCTTCTACAACCATCAACCCTGTGGATATGTTGGACTACAATTTCCATCATCCCTAGCTATCACAGCAATGTCTCTGGCTGAGAAAGGAATGTGTGTCCGAGGGAGGAGCGCCATGTTGGGGGTATAAAATGTCATACAAGCTCTAGTGTAGTATGATACCATCAGTCATGTGTGCTGATTTTTCTTTTATGCTTTTTCTTTTGTTTTGTTTTCTAATGTATTGTACATGGATTAAAATACAGAGGAATTAGGAAGAAATAAGTTCACATGAGTTTCTTTTTCAGACTCCTATGTAACCCTGTCCATCTTTGTAGTACTAGCCTCGAGGCAAAAAATTCTGCAAATTAATTCTGACTTTTATACATATAAGAGTGTTATGTGGAATATAATCCATTTTGCACAGCAAGTCATTTGATCCCTGCAAATGTTCAGTCTTCTCAATTTTTACTTTTACATTTTTGCTCCTCCAGGATTTCCTTTACCACGCAGCTGTCTTTGTCTTCTACTTTGGGACCTTCTTACTGCAAACTGCCACAACATCTTTGCACAGTCACCCCCTTAAGGTCACCTCCAATCTTGCCTCCAACATCACCACCTCTGGAGCGCTTCTAAATGACCATGAATATAATTTGAGCATAGCAGCTGCGGTAAGTATCATTTGGGGATGCTCTGGGGGTCAGCCAGGTTCGTAACAAATCTGACCATGTCTATGCTGAGAGCCTTTTCTCTTCCCGTTTCCTTTGTCTGTCTTCCTGGCATGGACTGACACGGAACTGGAACCTGTTGGTCCAGTCATCAGGTGGCTTTGACAGTAGAGTTAGATGGGAGGGCAGGTCCTTAGAGAGCAGCAAAACAGATTAATTGGCTCCCCAAAATCAGAAGTGCAGCCCTCCGAGCCCCTAAATTATTAACACATTCACTGTCTCTGATTTTATTTAAATTATATTTCCATTTAAATAAAATGAAGACCTGTCTTGACTTACTTTTGGGAATGTAACCCTGGGCATAAGACTTAGTGACCAAGAGTAGCCTTTGTCCTGTCAAATTTGTAAACCCCTGGCTGTGAAGGAGTCAAGATACTACAGAATATCTAGATCAGGGTTTCTCAACCTTGGCAACCTTAAGACATATGTAACCCAGAATTCCCCAGCCAGCAAAGAGTTCTAGTTGGGAGGAATCTGACTTGATTCAGCACCATTGCAGCTCATGATGCTAAATATCCTGATAGAACCAGTTCTTTCTTCTCCTCTGTGTCCAGATGTTATCTGCTCCTCAGCCTTGGAGTAAGCCCAACTTGGGTTCTGCTTAGACCATCCTCTCCCTCTTCAATATTGCTATTGCCTCAGCCCCTTGAACTTTGGCAACAAACCAGTAAGCTCAGACCACGTCAGGTGGACTGTCCACCTTTACCCAGGTGTCAATTCTGATTCACAGCATCTCTCCTGAGTTCCTCACTGCTTGCTGCCAGGAATCAGGAAAGATCAGAGAGATGGAATTTGAGGATGTCAATAAAATTAGACACCAGAGAATGCAGGGACCTTGTATGGAAGCCAGATTTGTCATCACCAATTCAGGTTCTCTCTCCAGAATGTTAAGTTGGTAGCTCCTCAATGGAAACAGATTGTCAAGAGACAATATATTGGTAAGCAGGTCTTGTAGTGTAGTGTCATAGGGTGATGAGCTTCTGTTCCTAGTTCCAGCCAGGCTAGCTTTTTTTCCACCCTCATTTAGGATTTCCAGAGATCTAGAGGTACCTCCTTTGATCCCCACTGGGCTCTAGGCTCCAACTGACTTTTTACATTTAAAAAAGCTTCTTTAAAAAAAATGGAACCTTGGCATGCTGCAAAGCTAAATTGCAGAATATCTTGGAGCCCAAACTGGATCTAAAGCCTTTCTTGGAAATTAGGAACGATGGGCAGATACAGCTTGGTGCTTAATTTGCAGGTGTTCCTGCTTGCCCAGAAAAAAGGATGAAGGTGAGCAGGGCTTGTAAGGAGCATCTTGTGGGAAGAGGAACTAGGAGAGGTGGGTGCCTTTCTCAGAAATTGGCACTTTGAAAGAGCTGTGTAATCCCCATAGGTTGAAGCTCAAGGAAGAAAATCTTCACTCATGCAGCAGTTCCACCCACAGAGTTCAGGCCTGGTATAGATCTAGATACGGTATATGCCTGCTTCTCCAATATCTGCCTGTTAAGTTTTTTTCTTAATATGGTACAGATGAAGACACAAAGACTGCATTTGTTTTCCCACAAAAACTGTTTTATTGTATAAAAATTAAACTATTCCTTACTTCTAAACTGAGTGCTAATTCTTTGCTTGTTTCTATTTTCTTATCTATCTTATTCTATTGTCTTCCTATTACTAGAAGTTTACAACTATTTCTATTTTATTTAATGTATGCATTTCTATCTCTGTGTCTATTCCTATGTTTGTAGCACTGTTTCTTAGCTCTTTAAAGCTTTCCTTTTCCCCCAGGACTTCAGCTCTTGTAGCCAGTCTCTCTCTGTTTGCATGTGAAAACCCTTTTCAGTCCTCTATAGACTTGCAAATGGGCTTTTCTCTCTCTCCCCCCCCCCCCCCCCCCCTCATCCCAGGACGCACAGTGCCCTGTTTCTGGAGCTGGTTTCTGGAGCTCTGCACCTGGGCTGCATGCAGTGGCCTTGCTTGGGTTTGCAGACTCTGGCTCTTTCCCTCCCCTGACTTTGCAGAATTGCAGTTTTCTTTCACTGCCTGAAAGACTGCTGAAGTTGCTTGCGTTTGGGTTGGAAGTTTCTCTTTCCCCCATCTCTGCTGCCTTTCTGGTTTAACTCCCTACCTGACACACCCACACCCATGCTTGCTTTCGGTTCCCTTGTATGAGACAAACTCTCCAATGAAGGAGAGGGTGGGGCTGTTTTAACCCTCCTTTCCAGGCAGCACCAAAATGCTGGATCCCGGGAGGGGAAAAAATGCCTGCTCACTCTGGTGGTGAGTTCACTCTTGCACGCTGCCCATTACCCTACCCAATCTTTGTGGAGCTCAGTAGGTGATAGCAGCACTACCAGACAGGAGGAAAGCACATCAGTAAGGCTAGGTGGTGGCTAGAAGTATTTCTTACCAGTTTGTTTCTGAGCCAGGATCAAAGAGACAACAGGCAATTGCATGAACTTAAGGTCCTTCACCCTTGAGCAAAAGGGTGTTCTTCACCCAAGAGCAAAAGCAGTGACAGCAAGCTGTTAGGTGGGCAGCCGCGCTTGACCTCCTCCTCTTGGCACAATATATACATTTCATTCAGCTCCTCCTTTAGAATACCACCCCTTATTCATTCACCCATTTCCAACCTCGAAATCATTCCATATTAGGAACTAACTTACTTCCTTCCTTCCTTCCTTCCTTCCTTCCTTCCTTCCTTCCTTCCTTCCTTCCTTCCTTCCTTCCTTGGGCCCTTGACTATTAACTAAACACCTTTTCCTTAGGAAAAACTGTCTTTGGAATGTACACCTTATCTTGCCTCTATGGGGACAGCTTTTTATCTATCAATATTAGAAAGGCCTCCAAGCTTACAGACTTAAAGAAGGAAACAGGACACAGAAATCCTTGATGAAAGTCCTAATGTTTCAATACTAAATATAAGTGTGTGTGTGTGTGTGTGTGTAAATACGAAATATGAAATGTATGTGAATGTAATTATATAAAATCTTCTATCATGGTGATCCCTCTGGCTGCCATGGAGTAGCCATCCTCCTCCCCGCTGCCATTTTGCAGAAGTGCCCACAACCTGTTCTCCACATTCTCTTCATCGGCACCCAAAGGCTGGGGAGTTCTGCTCTAACCATTGCATTGCAGCCTCCCTCTCTTAAGTATCCATGGTCTTCTGGGTTCCAAAGTAAACAAGTAGGTCTTTAGTGTTGGTTTTTTGCCCACCATGTGTATACTTGGAAGTAAAACTTTGTGACAAAAGATCACACCTCTCCTGTGCGCGCATGCTCTCTCCCCATGAAGTAAGCCAAATACAGACATTAACCTTAGGAAACATTGAAGGCTTCAAGAAGTGACGAACATGCACAATAGTAATTAGGGAACAAGCATTAAAAGCCAGCGCAACAGCCCATCTTGGATACAGATCTCATGTTTATTTCTCGTTCCATGCCTCCTTTTCTGTTGCAGATTTTTTCCTTTGTAACAACAGTGTGTTACGGATGCAGCACCACCCTTGCTTTAAGAAGATGGAAACTATAGCATCGGAAAGAGGCCGACAGCTCCGCTACATCCTAGCTGATGTTGGTACCTGTTCAAAGATCAAACAGAGTACAACTTCTCCATCAAAAGGATGTTTTGGAATACATCTGTAGTTTTTTTTTAAAACACTGAGAGATACACACCCAACCATGCCATAATTGTATACTCTCAGGGGTGGTGGTGGGGAAATCTGTGTTTATGTTGAGATTGTATCGAAGCTGCTATCTCAGTTCAGCAGCACCATTCACATGTCACAAAAGTGGGAGTAGTGTTTAGAACCAAGGTCTTGAAAACAGAAGGGATTATTATCAGTTTTGGGTGCCAGAAGATTCCTAGCTTGACAAGAAGTAGAAATAGCAATAGTGGCCTTTGCGTATACATTCATTCTTCAGTGAAAATAAGATACACATTTCTGTAAAAAAAACAAACACTCGTTTTCAGATGAAATCTTTTATTTTCTTCCCCACACAGTGCTTCAGAAATAACCCTCTGTCAACAGCATGGTGGGTGACCAGGGCCCCAAGATACCAACCATCTTGTCAGGATTTTCTCATGTCCTACATTTTTCTCCTTCCTTTTTTCCCCAGGTTCTGTCCCCGTTGTAATATTTTAAATATGTCGGCTGTGCATGAGAAATAATATGCTGACAGTCTCAGCGCAGCTTAAGTTTTTACGTTGGTTTTCAGTTGCTGAGTTGATCTTCCCAAGAACATTGTGCTCTATAACTTACAGCCCCACTCATCCCACAGTATTATCATGCTGCCATTAGCAGACAATTGAATGTCGGTGCTCTGATGCTTATAGGAGAAATAAAAGGTCTTAGCAAACGTGTAATAAATCACATACACACAATCAAGAAAAATGTCTATAGGCATAATTAATAATGCAGTGCTTTTGGCTAAAACTTGCTTTATAGTCCACCATGCCCAACTCTCAGTAATTTCAGCAGGATTGACATGAGTTGCCAAATTTCAGGATTTAATCATCCGTTCTTAGAGACAGAAGATAGTCTAGTTCTCAGAGTCATTCACTAGCTTCAGCTTGCAACTTTTGAGTCTTCAGCTAGGCAGTTGTATAATAGTATTATTTTAAAGTGCAAGGAATATATTCACTCCGCATTCTTAAATTTTAAAAAATGTGCATGATTTTTTTTAAGTTTCCTAATTCAGAAAAAAAAAATAGAATGTTTTTCCTGGATTTTTCATTTTTCTTTACAATTTTGGCTTTACCCCTTCCCCCTGAAAATATGTCTCTCATCTCTGCCTATCGTATTTTTATCTTTCAAGAATTGCAGCCTGGTGAATTGATGTTGGGGGTTTACCAGAGTTCTGGTAATCCAAAATGGGTTTCCTATCTGGGTTGTTAAGCCTTAGTAGCTTCGGGCGATGGATTAAGGCTTCTGTTCGTTTTATGCTGATGCTCATAGATAAGCTGGGCCATGTTGATCCTAAACTACCAACAAAAATGGAACTTTTCAGAAATACTGTATCTCCATCTTGAAAGAGTAATTTATAGCAGGAGAAAATATTTCATGTGTTTATGTTCTATCTAACCAGAATCTAGTTGTACCATTGTTAGGAAAAGATGTTTTCAGAAAATATTGTTGTGGCTTATACAAAAAAAAAAAAATCTGGGAGCATGTCCATTAGCGAAATGACAAACTAATGTCATAATTCGTTTTCTCTTGGTGCAGTAAATCTGAGAAATGTTCAGGTAATGTGTTTAAAGTTTATGTGCTTATTCAAGGGAAACATGTCTTATTCAGAAGCTAGTTTTTACCTAAAAATTTGCTAGTGTGTTAAGTTCAGAAAATAGATGGATTGCCCATCCTATATGTAGTTCATTGATACAGGTTTTGCTTGTACAAATATTAAGAATCTGAAGTCCCTTTTTCTATCTGGCAAGTAAGAGAAAGCCTGCCTGCCTCCCTCCCTCCCTCCCTCCCCCAAACTTTTACTCTAAACTCACATTTTCTAATTTATCTTATAGACTCTTTTATTTATCATATTTAGATATAGAAGCCAAAGGCTTCTTGTTTTTATCTTAGCAAACCGACTAATATTACAGAATGCCTCTAATGCATTTGTGTTCCACTTAAGAAAATGTTTATGCTGAATTGTTCTGGAGATTTCTTGGCTTCCTCTGAACCTCAGTGCTTTTGCTATTTTATATCTGAGGTTATATGTTCTGTTTCATTTTTCAGAATGCAGGTTCTGGGGAACGATCATATAATTAGGTTATTGTTTGATACCTCCAATATAATGCGTTATTTTGTGGTGTGTTACTGTAAGTTGCTATCAGGGGCAGAAACCAAACTTGAGCTAGGAAAGAGCACTTAATAGCAGATCAGATCTTTTAATAGGATGCATATTGCTTGCAGTCTGGTTATGGAAGATCGATCCAAACTCAAGTCAGAAAGTGGCTTTATGTGCTGTTTTTCCTATTGCAAATATGAGTGATATTAAAGGGACCAAAATACATTTGGCAGTTGAAACTATTGTGTAATTCATGTCCAATGTCAAAAGAAGGCTTTGTCAGCAAAGCAAAATAAAACCTGTTTAGTTAAAAACAGGTTGGAACTGCTAGATGGGCAGTTTTGCCAGATAACACTTCAGCAGGCCTTAATACAGATGTTGTTACTACAACAAAGGTGGTATACTATAGTTCAAAATCTCTTAAACCTCAGCTCAGTTGTTTTACATTCCCTTTATGCTTTTACTGGAATCTGTCCCCAAACTGACCAAGCACCCTAGCAGGACATGCATCCTAGGTCCCATCAGATGGTGGTGTTTAGTTGTGGGACAGGCAGAGATAATTGGAGACAAGCAAATCCACAAATGACCAGACCCTCTGCCATGAAGAGCTTTATAGGTGACAACCAGCACCTTGAATTGCATCCAAAAACCTATTGGGAGACCGTGGTTCACAAGGAGTAGCGATACATGGGTGTATCAAGCTGTGCCCATAACTCTCCATGCTAACCCATTCTACACCAGCTGCAGCTTCCAATTAACATTTTAGGTGTGGACAATTTATCATATCAAAACTGGAAAGGCAGAAAAAGATTGGACATTTATATCATTAAAAGAACAGCAAAAAAGTTGACCAGATTGCCTGAAAATTCATTTCCTAGCTCCAATTTTTAATAGGAAAGTAGATGGAACCATGTACAGCCCATGATGCTCTGATGGGACCGGCTGGGATACAGAATACGAGGATTGTGAGAACCACCACCATCCATAAATATTGCTGTGAAGCCCAGAACCTGCTTCTCCACCATCAAACAAAAGATGGAGCTCTAACATTATCTGACAGTTTATTATCCTTATTCCATGTAATAGAAAGAGGGGGAGGGGAGGAACAGCTAGCATGTGGCCATCTTTGGCTGGTCTCAGAAGTTAAACAGAGTCAGTCCTGTTTAGCGTTTGGATAGGAATTCCAGGGCTTTGGCTAGACTGGAAAGTCATTTTTAAAAAGCCACCCTTCCCAGAAGACAGCAGTAGCATACCATTTCCATATTACTGCCAAGAAAACAGCATGGATTCAATAACCACTAGTCAGGATAGACTTGAAGTTATCTTATCTTTACTTTTTATAGAGCACCGGGGCCAAGGAGGTGAACTTTCATAGAGCTGTGCAACACTTTGAATTCAATCTCCCAAAGAGGCTTCTGTGGGCATGGAAGTACACAGGCAGACAAACATTTGTTTTTGAAGACTGAATTCAAAGCAGTGCACAGCCCTAAAAGCTCTAAAGAGTGTAAAGATTCACACTTGAGGAAGAGATAACCAAGGCCAAGCATGGCTAAAGCATAAGTTCTCTTTCCTCATTCAGTTCCTTAAGAATGACTCACCAATGAAAACACAAGACTTGAAAGCATTGGTCTTTCTACTCCCATACAGTTGCTCTCTGGCAGCTGAAGGAACGAAGTGGAACACAGTTGGCTGAAGACTATTCTGCCTTTCAGGAAAGCCTTTGACAGCCAGAAATAAACACCATTGTACTTCATGTCCCTTACCTCCAAATGTTGTCACTCTTCGCTGTTCTTCCTGAATCCCGTAGCTTTTCCCATCTGTAACAGGAGGCAGGAGGCAAGTTGAGTATGCCATAAAACCAGTCCTGGTCCACACTAAATTTCACTTACTGCCTCAAATGTGTGGCTTAGGGAGCGAGGCAGAATCTTCCTGAGGAGCTCACAAGCAGATGAATGATTGATTTAATCAATATATATGGCTTCCATCTCACAAATGTGACTCTGGGCTGCTAACAACACATTAAAACAATATTAGCAGAATAAAAAACCAGCAGTGGTCACCAAGAATGAACCCAATGGGGCAACAGACAGAAATCTCTCAATGGGCCATCTGACTGCCTGACCCACAGGCCCTTGAGCACATCCAGGTCCTCAGCACTTGCAGAAGGCCAGTAAAGCTGGGGCCCATTTGATTTCAGGGAGTATGATGCTCCAAAGGGTAGGTGCTGTGACAAGAAAAGACACACTGCTGAGGTCCCGTAAGATGACATTTTTTATTTGAAGGAACCCGGAGCATGCTCCTCCTGTTGGACCTACTTCCCTGAGTCCTATTTATGCTTGCAAACCAGAGGTTCCCAGCTTAGGTTAAAATTGCATAAATTAGGGCTATTCAATATATAGCAGATGATTGCTATATGGTAAGAGTTAGAGATTTCTGTACCTTTCCTGTTACTAAGTGGCCATCTGAATTTTTACAACCCACATTTGGTTGTGCTACATGAAATGCTAATCTTGCTGAAGTTTAGCAGGTCTGGAACTGCCTGGACGAAAAAAAATCGCATTCAATTCTGAGTTCAAAGAAATAATACTGGATTATAAATAAAACTCCAAGCCTTATCAGATTTCCAGGTTACTCTTCATATATCATCTCTTGTGGACTGAGTCTTATCATCTCTGTCCTTAAAACATCTGGAGCCAGATACATGCTTATGTTATCCTTTTATGGAACCAATCATAAAGTTTGGCTTGATGTCATGTGGAACATGGGTTATCTTGGTGCAACATTTTGACTCGGGTGCTGCCAAGTTATAAAACATCCCACCCAGTAATAGATCCAACTGCTGTTTTCAGACTAGTGGGGGGTGAACCCAAAATGCTCTTGATGATATCAGTGCTTCAGGTAGGTTCTGATCTTGATCCAGCTTCTCAGACCCTGGCTTTGAATGCTGATGAATAAATAGCGTGTTCTTATGAGCTGAACTTAGTTGCGATTACAACCATAGATAGCTGGCAGCAGATGGAAGAAAGGTGGAGTGTTTTGAAGAAACCATCCAGGGAAGTCATATAGCAAGAATTAAAATATTTCCTATTGCTAGGATCTGAAAAAATATTGACTGTTCCAAAGACTCAAATGTTTTAGGGCGACCCTTGTGGTTTTCTCCACAGCATCTCTCCAACTATTTCTTTTGATGTGTTGCCTGTAGCATCATCAAGTTTTGCAAAAGCGGGGGCGGGCGGGCGGGGGAAACACACAGAACCCTAACCAGCTAGTCTCTTAGACAGCTAAAAATAAATGGAATGAGAGCACGGATCAAAAGGATGCATTTATGATACATAGAGTATTGTGATCCACTGGTGAGTGGTGTTAGGATTTAGGGGAAACTACCCCAACATATGCCACTATGAAAATTGGAAGACCCCAGATATGCTGCTGTAGTTCTGTATGAGCAGAGCTGTTCCACCAGTGAAGATTCTCTCCCTGGAATTGAACTCCACTTCTGGTCGTGACATTGACGTGGACATGTAGCTTTCTGGGCAGCCATAAGGAAGTGATTTGTCACTGCTGTTTTCTGGGATTTTTTCCCAGTCTAGCCTAAAGTCCTGAGATGTCCTAGTAGTCTTCCATATACGAACTAATTCCCCATCCTTAGTCCAGCCCTGCTTAACCTTTTCATTTATTGCATTTATTTGGTAAATTTATATAGCTGCCCATCTCACATTTGTGATTCTGAGTGGCGTACAAAATTCACAAAACAATACAACAGAATAACCAAAAGATAACCACAAGAATCATTAAAAAAAAAACAATTAAAACCATTAACCCCCCCCCCAATAATCTGTGGGAAGTACACTCATTTTCCCTATTAATACAGCCATTTTACAGGCTCCATACCCATGTTCCCAAATGCCCAGGCAAAGCCATGTCTTCAGGCCCTTCAGAAGGCCAGCAAGGTTGGGACCAATCTGACCTCAGAATGATGTTCCAAAGGGCAGGTGCTGCGACAGAAAAGGCTGTCCTCCTGGGTCCTGTCAGATGACATACTTTGTGGATGGGACCTGCAACATGACCTTCCTGCCGGATCTGATGGCGTGGGTAGACGTGATTGGGAAGAAGCGGTCCCTCAAATAACCTGGCCCTATGCCATGTAGGACTTCATAGGTCACTAGCAGCACCTTGAATTGAACCCAGAAGCTAACTGGTAACCAATGTAGCTCGCAGAGCAGAGGTATAATGTGCACTGATCTAGGTGTGCACATAACTGCCATGCTGCTGCATTTTGCACCAGCTGAAGCATCTGGATGCTCTTCAAGGACAGTCTCATGTAGAGCATGTTACAGTAATCTATGTGGGAGCTGACCAGATGTAAGTGACTGAGTGTAGGGCCTCCTGGTTCAGGAATGGGTGCACAACCCAAAGTTGCACAAAGGCCCTCCTAGCCATGACTGCCACCTGTTCATCAAGCAAGAGTCATGAGTCCAGAAGGACTCTCAGATTGCACACCAGGTCTGCGCACCAGGTCTAGGGCAGTGCCACCCCATCCATCTTTTTTGGATCAGCCAGGGCAGTTAGTGCTGCCACCCGCTACAGACTAAGGACTGTTAAATAACTCCTTATGATTACAGGGACATATCTATGTAGTTTTCTTTCATAACAATATCAAAATTGTTTGCCATTGCCATATTCCAGGATTTTTTTTTCAAGTTTCTAGTCTAACCAACTACCTAGGCTGGTAGTTCACGCTGCTCGCCTATCAGTGTATTAACTCCTACCCCATGATCCTGCTTCACTTTTCAGCTGCTGCCTTCTGCTGAGTCTAGTGAAAATTAGTTCAGCTCAGATGTGGTACATTCATGGGCAGGGATGGGCAGATGCTCATATACTGTATCTATATCCTTTCAACCCATACCACAGTGATGGCATACAAGTCAGGCTTCTCTAGTAGTACCCTGAATTGGAAGTGGTTAATCCCAAGAACAAGTCTCTCAGAGCTCTGATTAGTAAGATTGATTAGGAAATAGCTTCAAGTTTAAATACAAAAATTCCAGCCAGTATTCTACTTTCAAATGAGACATCTATATATAGACAAATATATAGGACTTTTGCCCTAGGTATCTCACCACAGGACTACTGCAATGCACTGTACACGGGGCTGCCCTTGAAGACCACCCAGAAGCTACAGCTGGCCCAAAATGCAGCAGTGTAGGTTGTAATGGGCATACCTTGGTACGCCCGTGTGTTTTCACTGCTCCACAAGCTACATTGGTGGCCATTTGACTTCTGGGTGCAATTCAAGGTGCTGGTTGTCACCTATAAAGCCCATCATATAAAGCTTATATCTTGTTTATCCAAGAAATCATGGTTAATGTCAGCTCTATTAGGTAGATCAGACCAAGGAACAGACATCATGCTGACCTAAAGCTACTTTTATTAGAACAGCTATAAGGATCAGCTTCTGCAGACTCACAGTATGTATGAAATATTCTTTGAATCGATAGGGAGGGGTCACCAGTAGAGGCCCACAGGAGTGATCATGCTTTATATACAGTATAATCCATGTTTGGATTGGAACGTCTTTTCTTAGTTCAATAGTTATTGAACTAAGTTTCTAGTTATTGTGTGGCTCTGCAGAACATCAAAATATTTTCATTGAAGAGCCTGAGGCATATTCCTTTGTTGACTTTGCATCCCCAACATTTAGGAACTTAGTAGGCACAACTGCAAATCAGTTCTACTGGAATAGCCAGAGAAGAGAAGGGAAGGGGAAGAGATAGGATTGGATAGGAGATATAGAGATGAATTATTCCATGCGTAGCCAATGTTTTGGCATCTTACCAGGGCCCTGCCTCATCC